AACTACTTTATATGCGGAAATTTCGCTCTTGTTTTAGTGGTAGATTTTAGACTTTGATGTTCTATATACTCAGATACTAATAAAAAATATATAAATTCCAACATCAATTTGGAACCTTAGTATAGTTCCAGACTTTTGTCAAGTCATTTTATAGAGTGACGCTTGAGCCATCCCGTAGATGAATTAGTCTTTACAAAGCATCGTTAAATCTGTAAAATCATTAAATAAACGGTAGCGTTCCTACCAATGATTAGCTTGAAAGAATATTTTTCGATATTCTGATAAAAATCCGTAGATTGTAGTAAATCTGATCGAAGAAAAATACGAAATTACTAATGTTGATAATGACTTAATCTGGGAGCGGACTGGATTATGTTTACACTTTAAATAGATGTAATGCATTCGTATGTCTGCTCTACTGAAACTGATCTTAAGAATTTCCACATAAGGTCTCCAAACATAGATTACGATTGTCTCACAGTCTCCAAACAGAAGGAAGATAACTCCATATGACTCAGACCAAGTATTGATGACCACATAAGATGATCACTTGAACAGGTTCGAGCTCTCACAGCGTTCATCAATCTGAGTCAATTCCAGACGCTAACGAAAGTGCAGGTGGGTGAAGCTTGGGCATATATAACACGTTCATTAGTAATGGTAGTCAATAGAAATTCAAGGCCTCATCAAACATCCTCACCTATCACTCTACCTTTAAACGACATATTTCAAACCCATAAGTTAATATAGACTAAGTGTTACTCAGAACATTCGTCCCATTTACGGTAAAAGTGTAATTATCCAGCGCCACAAGTGATTTAATCATGGGCAGGAAATTAAATGCATAACTTTGGTCAATTGTTAGTCTCATATAATTATTGTTTCAGTCTTCCAAAAAACTATGAAACTAAACCAACAGTTTAGAAGCATAAAAAACTTAACGTACAACAGTCGATATATACTGGTTACCCATAGCAGTTTATCGAATATAACTCAATAAAAATAATGAAATTTAGCATATAATAAATTCACAATAACTTTTTTGTTTTAATATTTGATAAAAAAACAAAGAAGCAAATAATATTTTGTGCAGGCTACAAATATTGTTAAAAACAACTTGTATGGTTGGATGAGTTAATTACAAAATTACCAGACTTCCAAATACAAATTAAAATAATGAAATTATAAAAATTGTACATGAATGAATAGCGATTGTATTAGTTAGTCGCATGATTGATAAGTTAAGGTCCTTCAGATGCTTTATTAGTGGCGTACTTCAGTGAAACTGACCACAAAACAACCATAATATATCTATTTATTAATGTTCTTATTTAAATTACTTCAATCTTTTCTTAATTTTAGGATTACTCATTGTTACGTAATACAGAGAATTGAGTAGAGCAGTTTAAGACCTGTAGAAAAGTACATTTTCAGATTGAATATGATCTTTAAACTGTGACTGCATGTTTTTTAATTCACAAAATCTTTACAAGTTTGGATAAATAAACATTAAGTGTAGGTTGTTTTTGGTGTAACTGAACAGTAAGGTGAAGCATAACGATATCCATTAGCCGATCAATACTAATGTATTAAAAGTAGGTAAAGGTTATCAATACTATATATATATATATATATATATATATATATATATATATATATATCTGCAAGAACAGGTCAGAGGTGTTAGAATCAAGGAAACAATTAAGGATTGGTGGTGTAATAGCTGAGTGGAGTTCAGAGGCAGATAAAATAAATTGTTTCATACTATTTCTTATCTCAATGTTAAATTCTAATACATATTTGGTTGTAAGCAGCTGACGAGAAACCACGAAATAAAATGAATTCATACTATTCTGCATCAATATTTGTTCTGGCTTTATTTAAATTCATAAAGGGAACTAATTGCATAAAAGTAGGTAGTTTGTTTTGAATGAAAACAAATGGTAATTACTTCATGTATACTATTAGATTCGTTCATGTGGTACTAATATTTATGGAGAACTTATTTTCTTCTAACAACGATCACGTAATCTGTAATACTTATTTGATGCAACTCAGTGAACATATATATATCTCAAAAGCAGTCTGAAAGATACTTATTTTGTGGTAGGACATGTTACAGCACGGCTTTTTATATCCTAGTAGGTACGACAGAGCCAGAACAACGGATGCATTAGTTAAAAGCACTGTACATAAAAAACAAGGATAGCACTAGTTTGATGAGGCCTATGATCGTTAAAGAATGTATTGAAACTACTGAAGAGTGCATAACGCATACTAAACGAATATTTCCCTAGTCTTTTTCCATAATTCTACTTTTATTGTAGTTCTTCAGAAAAACAATTATACCATGTTTCAGTAACATATTGAGATCGTATTTCAATCTATCTCAGTATAACTAAGCAGTATCCATCAAAAATTACAAGCAGATCAGTTTGAATTTAGATTATGACTACTGGGGACTTGATCAATCAGTGTAACTTTTATAGTTGTTTGGTTCAGGCAATGCTGTTGCTTAGAGTAGACGACTGTATCATAAACTTGATATGTAAACAATTACTAAGGAATAACATTTAGTGATTAATCAGCTAATAGTCTTATTAGATAAGTCTGACAAATTAAGCATTATAAAATTCCAGTTTGGTTAATCTATTTGCTGAAAAGAATAAGTGAAACTGCTTTATAGTGTTTTAAATGCAAACAGCATTAATTCTTCGTACAAATCGATCATTCGTTACATGTTCATCCAGTACTGATTTTTGTAGTCTATTTACAGATTGATGTATCCGACTGGAAAATTTATACAATTTAAAAGTGTTTGTAGTTTATTGTTGGTAAACCCTTGGATTTAGTATTGCCGATCGGAATACAGTAAATTTAACAATCGGAAACATTTGTCCCAGAAAAAAATTAAACCAGTGTAACTTTCGTGGTGAAAATTGCTATACTTATTGAGTAAGATATCACTGTCAAGATGATTTTTGGAAGGATAGTAAATATTTTTAAGTTTCGATATTCGTAACTAGTAGCAGAAGCTCGTAAATATATGTGACCAACTTTAAACTATAGATCTGAGTTCCGCCTAATAAACTTCGGCTTGTACAATACGTACGTAATCAGTGTAGATGAAAATCAAACACAATACAATAACTTGTACCTGTTTATTCAACTGAATTACTTATAAACGTGAATTACCATTCTTACTAGATTTTTGATTAACATAGATGACAAACAAATTAACTGGAAGGTCGTATTCATATCGAATCCAGAAACGTGCACCAGTATACAAGCAGGAATTTAGTGGTAAAATCTAAGAAAACTAGCAAAATAGTACCACCAAATTCATAGAGCGATGAAAGGTAGTTTTCATTAAACCCTTAACCTAAGTTTTGTGCCAGATGGCACATATCAGTAAACTGTTCATGGACTCAAATCAGTGTCACAGTTTGAAATGTTAACACTGAATTATTAAATAACAGTTGGAAGTTTAGCAAATCATACAGAATTGATAGACGAAAATATTCTGAAACCTCTTTAGTATAAAATTGTCTTTAAAGTAAATAATTCTTGCTTACACGTAAACATATCGCCATTAAATTGGTATCGATATCACTCAATAATATCACATGACGTTCATTGATGGTACCTAAGATAACTGGTTTTCAGCGTTTATTAATTCAGTAAATTTCGATTTGACTCAAGTGCTTACATTATGGATGTTAAGAATCCTAGTTACAGTGGAAAGATCAAAAATTGGTAAACCCAACAGATTAAAAATAAATTGGTTATAACCACCTGAAAATTATTCAATGATAATGAGTACTTGGTATGCGTGACCGAGAAGCCGAAACATTTGATCGTTTGAAAAACTGATAACCAATAATGTTTAACGAACATACGAATTTTGCTAGAAGACAAACACAAAATCAGTTGCTGTGCTTACATCTTACAATTCTAGCTTTATAATTTTGTTCAGATTAAATAAAATATGAACAAATAATCAACGAATTATTGGAATTCCATGATCCAGTTTGTTAACAAAATGCTATTTATATATGGTGAAATAGAGAAGTACCAATGTTTGTTGTTTTTAAATAATGCACAAATAAATCTTAACTCCGATCATTATCACTAAGGTTATACGATTTAATTTTTGTCAAATAAATCATAATTTAGATGTTACTGAGAGTGAATAGAGAGAATCCATTTGTATGTGAATGAACAGTTGAGTTCCCATTAAAACTAGAATTAAGCGCAAATAGATAAAATATTACCCACGAAGACACTGTGTAACAATAACAATCTTAAGTTATTCTTCACTGTTGTTATACTGAACAGAAGTTGATAAACCTGTCTTTCAAGTATGATTGTAATCGTTCACTTCCAAACACTGAACCGTAAAGTTCAGTACCTGAATAACATAACCAGACTTTCATAAAAAGACAGAATTTAAAGCTAAATATACATTAAAATAATCGCATAAAATAATGTACACTAAGTAGATTTCTTTTTGGAAAAATAAAACAATAATATAAATCATTTTATCATAATCATCATGAATTGATTTATTCATCATAAAAGGCTAATACATTTCATGTACGTATAAATCAGTGAATATACAGACGAAATATGTAGAGTAATAAAAGTAATAAGGCGGGCTAAGCAGTAAATAATAATAAAAATGATAAAATCATACTTGATTAGACGCTTTTTCTCGTAATTCAAATCAACGAGAAAATCAATGGTGAAAAAAATGAGTAACTGATTGAAAAATAAACTTTCTAAATGGAAAAAAAATCGTGACGGTAATAGCAGTAATATCAGTATTAGTAGTAGCAAATAAACAATTTTCTCTAAAAAATAAATTAAGAAAAAAAACGAAAGCAAATGTGAAATTATAGGATGGTCTTTAAAAAGGAAAAAAACTGGAGATTTTCTTTAGATCAGATCAAAACAGCCTGATGATAATTGAGTTGATGTTAAATATCCTTCTCATTGTTTTAAATTTCTTCTCCAACCACTACGAAATTACACAAAACGATCCCAAGGACAAATGAAAAAGACTGGTCATTGTTGTTGTTTTAATGGACAAAAGCAATTGAGTATTTGTTGTGAAGACAGGAGATAGAACGAAATAATTATTTTTGGAAAAAAAGGGAAAACAATCAAGAGAAAGATAGTAAGAAGAATATCAAATAAATGTTATATTTTCAATTACAACTAAATAAAAAATTTATTTGAGACTACGAACCGATATAAGTTAGACAACCACTGAAAACCTGAAAGCAGTGGACATCTGTTTCATCTTAGTACGGGTTCCATGATATTGCACAGCTAGCTACCATCCTAAGTGGGTGTTTTCTCGCACGCAACACGGTTGGACTGCAGTGGCCACGGCTTCTCACTTGAATCTGAAGATTTTTCTCTACGCTAGTCACTAGTGAGCACACAAAAATTATCAGTATGGGGATTGTAGAGATCGGTTTGTGATTTTAATAAGGTTCAACAATTTTCACAACCGCAAGAATGATAAATGAAAATTAGTAGGTTAAAAACACTCTAACAGATTGGTTATAGTATCAAGAAGAAAGAGTAAATTTGTTAACTGAATCCAGAACAACTTTGTGGAGAAACTCGTAATTGCAAAATTTAGGTAACACAGCTTCAAGTGAAGTGCAAATGAGCTTTTTTAGGTTTTTTTTAAAAGTATTGAATAACTTACGCTATTTCAAAGTATCATATTTGTTTACTATGTTTTATTTGTCCCATAATACATTTTGTTTGTTATATTAAGCTAGTTAGAAGTCAACGATTGTGAATAGAAATTATTCATCAGCACAGAATTAAACTGTTCATTATTATGCGAAACTATTAAATGCTATTAAATGATTCAAACATAAATAAATTTAGCAGTCAACCTACGTGATGAGTGGCTAATGAAAGCGAAATAGAATTGTTCAGGGACCAAATATAAACAGACATCCAACTTTGTTAAATGTACGGAGACATTATGTAATATTGTCAACTCCTTTCCCATCATTGATATCATTGCACTAGAGTCTAGGATTCACATGAGGTTAATAAACGGTTATTCTGTCTCTATAATCTGCTTCTTAATCGTCCGTCACAATAGTGTATCTCTGTATAACGTGATGTAGTCTATTGATTTAATTATATCGTATCTAATATTGTGGTCTACTATGTCTATTCGTATTATCTAATCAAGTGTTAGTGTATTAATTGTATTGTATTATTTCTTGTATTTCGTACTAGGAGGAAAAACCTTTTATCAATTTTTCCGTTACAACACTAAGTTTTTAAATCAGAATAAGTATCAACAACTACTGAAAGACTAGATGCAAGAGTTAAATTATTATTCAAGGTTTAAACACAACAATGTTTCTGATACAATTGAAGTTTTTTTTTCACTAAGTAATGAATGATATGATAAAAAAATTCACAAAAATAATTTATATTATACCGTGTATGACAAACTAAATCTAATCATAAGATATGTGTAATTAAATTACTGAATAGACTTTAGAAAACTCCATATCAAAATTTCGTCATACAAATACATCAAGATGACATGTTTATAGATTATATTCGTGGAAATTATGATAATGTCCGGATGAGGGTAAAGAGAATCAGCTCTCCCGCTCTAAATGCCTTTACATGGTCACGTGTATACAACCACTGTCAAGGAAGTCCGATACACTACCTTCTAGCGGTGGTGTTGTTTACGAAATTGAGAGAACAAAAAGCGAATATCCGGTGCCTTAACCGGGCTGGAAAACCCTGATTCCAAACCAATGGTGCACATGGACTCTAGCATCCTGAGGGAACAAATGGTGTATGAACCAATTGTTGGTGACCGGTTACCATGGGAATGCATCTACTTACGTTGCTCCACTGCCTTATGGGTTAAATCTCTATGTCAAAGGCTCGAAGTGTGGCCTCCTGAGAAAATCAACTGTTTCACTTTGGGCACCCGGGTAGTATTCCAGCCTTCACACAAATCGAATAATTTGTGTGCGCCTATATGTTTGGTGCCTCCTCGTACCAATGTTTATGTGTTTAAATTATTAAATAAATAAAATTATGATAATTGTATTTTCTATGATATCTTGTTGTTACTGAAATCAACTTATTATTTATTAGAACACATAAATATTGGTACAAGACGGGCACCAAATATATATGCGCCACACAAAACAATGAGAATTTGAAGAGAAGAAAAAACGGGAAAGGAGCGTAAAAAAAGAACAATAACGAACAGATTAGTGTAAGGTAGAGTAATAGTAATAATAGTGGGGGAAACGAAAAGGTACAATCAGAAGAAATCTTACAGTTAAGGAAGAAGCAAACACTTTTTACGAAGAAAGTAAAAGGTTACAGAAGGATCGCCATTGGCTTCTATTCTGAGCCATATCTGATAACGTCTCTAGCCACTGTGTTACACCATCTCTCCACCTCAGACAGGGAGTCGTGAAGGACAAACACAAGTCAGCCCTTTGCAGCTTTCTTTCATACCACGACACCATGTCATACACTAACCATCTCTCCACATTTTACAACCAGTCCCAGCGTCGTCAAGTAATGCACGACGAGGAATTCTCTGGGACGACATTCGTAGAACATGTTCAAGCCACCGAAGCCGATATTTCAAGATGGTGACACCAATTGAGTTATCGTCTCTGTGCCCGAACACACGATGCCGAACCTCTGCATTACTAACATGGTGTTGCCACTGGATGTCAGCAATCCTTCGGAGACAGTGATGATCGAACACAAAGAGTCATCTAACGTCCTCAATTCGGAGAGGCCAGGTTTCACAAGCATAGAGCAAAACTGCTCTCACTGACGCGTTGTAGATCCGACCTTTTACAGCCAGACTAACATCACGAAGGCGCCAAAGATGGCCCAGATTGGCATAAGCCGCTCTGGCTTTCACTATATTTTATAATTCTCTCTTACGGTTATAACCCAGCTATTCCTATTGCTTAGTATTCTCGGACACCAATTCACTCGACAAGGCCCCAAATCAGAACACGGTTGAACAGGACAGAGATTATATTCCAAATAACAAAGTTAGATGGAAGCAAGAAGCAAAATAGGAAAACCGTTAGTATATTTATAGCTTTTTACATAAGAAGAATCTAGAATCTTCTCCTTGTATCGACTAGCGCTGATTGGATAAGAATCAGCCAATCAGCGTGCGCCAAAGCAATCGTGCATTGAGCATGCTTTGATCCAATCTATGTCCCACTAACACCTCCCCTTTGAGCAGATTCGTAGGATCTGGTGCTAGGGTCCAAATGCAACCGAGTGACTGGCCTGTGCTTTCGATTTGTTCATCGTCTAGGCAATAAAGAATTATCACTCTTTGCTTGCACAGAAACTGACCTGTCTGTTCGAGGCGTTTTGATTTCAAAGGTGTCTAGCAGAACATCAAGAGGTATTCGATATTAAATCTCGTTGCTGGCTATCGAAGTTGCTTTCAATTGGTTAGCATGACGTATCCAAACTTCTGAGCCAACTGACACCTCATAAACCACACTCCCCTTCTTTTTCAAGATCCGACCAGCTGTCCATGTAGGATGTTTCTCACGATAGTCCATAGCAAGTACTTTTTGTCCCACCGTGAACAATCGTTTCTGTGCCCCATGATGTCGATTGTACTGATTCTCCATCGATAGGTTTCGTTGAGGCTCAAGAGCTGGCGTAGGACGGATGACATTGAAATGTGTTCGTATTTTCTGCCAAGTAGAGCTTCTGCTGGAGAGACCCCCTTAATCGTCTGAGGGTTCGGTGTCGAGCGATAAATAAGCAGGAACCTCTCTAAGATCTCTTCGGTGGTCCCCTCCCCTTTAGATTTTTTTAGAGCATTTTTAAATGTACTCACAAAGCGTTCCACTTGACCATTTGATTGAGGATGGAATGGAGGTGTTCGGACGTGATGGATTCCGTTCTGCCGACAAAATTGTGAGAAAATTACGGACGTAAACTGTGTTCCGTTGTCACTAACTATCAATTCCGAGACTCCGAAACGACTGAATAGTTGACGTAGCTTACTGACTGTGCAGCTTGCAGTCGAGTGTTCCATGAGAAAAATTTCTGGCCACTTGCTATATGCATTAACTACCAAAAGGTAAGTTTGTCCATGAAGTGGACCAGCAAAGTCCAAGTGTATACGCTGCCACGGTGACTGTGGTATTGGCCATGATTGCAGCTCTGCTTTTCGCGGTGCTTTTGTTGCTAATGCACATTTGGTATATGAACCGGATAGCTGCTCCAGTTGGGTGTCTAAATGCGGCCAGTATACATAACTTCGTGCTAATGCTTTCATGCGATTTATTCCAGGATGTCCTGCGTGCAACTGTTCAAGCACTGCTGGTTGTAGCTTCTTTGGGATTATGACACGTTCGGCAAACAGCAGGCAGTCGTCGATGATTGAGAGAGAGAGTCTACGCTGGTAAAACTGTTGAAGCTCTGTGGAACTGATCTTCGCGGGCCACCCTTACAGGTGGAACTTTCTAACTTCTTGTAGAATTGGGTCTCGAAGAGTTTCTTCTATGACTTCCCTGACCGTTGTTGCTACCTTGACGTGGTGGTCGGGCTTGCCTATCGTGATGAAGCAACTGAGCTATACTGGCTGGAACAACCGTTCCTCAAGGTCCTACCATGCCAGACAGGTCGGTTGAAGAGCGGTAAGACTAAAAGCAACAAAACCAAGGTCCGAAGGCGAAGTCGTACTGCTGACTGTACAGAGGTGTGACAGCAGTAAGGTGTTTCCTTCAGACAACCAGCATGACAGCGATGCTGCCTTCCCACAAGGAGGGCTGGGGTTAGAAAAGGTCGACCCTAAAAATGCACACCTCGTCTTATCCCACGGATACCCGTCTCCGGCGGTAAGGTCTCAACAAGTACGGAAATAACACAAAAACTACTCATAAAAAGGTCGTGTGTGGCCGACCTCAAGCAGCTGTCCCTTGGGCACTGCGGTCAGGCTCTCAGGTCACTAAGACCACCTCTAATCCAGTTTCCTTTTCAGGTACCTCCA